CGGTTTTTGAGTTATAAACACAACTCAAATACTGAATACTCAACTTCTAAAATACTTAACTCTTTATAACTCAAAAACCGTGATGACTAGAAAAATTCTACGTGCACCATTGGATTCCACGTGAAAAAATTTATTAGAACCCATTTTTACTTTTTTACTAAGTTTCCGGATAGCCGAGATACAGGAGGTGTCTGAAAATCGTAAATTTCAAACACTCCCTGTATATCAAAAACGAAGAGGGCTATGAAAATTTGGTTTACGCCGTTGTAAGTTTCACAAAAAAGTAGCTCAGGTTCGCGAAAACCGCAGCTTTCTATCTTTCATAATAACTGAGATACCCTGCAAACCCATCGAAATTTGGACACCTGTACATCATATCTTTAGGTACTACGGTCAGAAATGTTCGCAATTTAATAATGTATTCCTTATGAACCATGCTACTGTAGAAGTCACAAATCAAACAACAAAAATCGTTAGTTTTGCAAAAAAAAATATATTAATTTGATTGAGTTAAAGTTGAAAGAATTTATGTCTATCAAGTTTGACATACAATTTCTAAAAAAAGGAGTAGTACAACACCCTTGGCAAGTAATTTTAAAAGATGGCCTGTTTAGTCAAGTTTCAAAAATGGTACAACACGCCATTTTTCTTATCATAAAAAACATTATTGCCTGTTTTTTCTGCAAAAAACACGTTATTTAAAAAATGCATACTTTTGTATGTTGTTTGTATTTACTTTTTATTTCCTCTTAACTTTGTTAGAAGATGTGGCAGTCAATATCTAGGAACTACAAAATGTGGTTTCAACAAGATGTCTTGCAAAAAGACTTTCAAATAAGGTTAACCTAAAAACAAAATTAAACAAACAAATTTATTTATTATTAATTTTATAGCATTATTTTCTTAATACTAAGGCAAATGCTCAAATTATTTGCCGTCGGCAGTAATACAAGCTCTGCATCGTCACAGAAAAGATCTTTTTACTAGTTGTGCAAATCTCTGCATTTATTTCTTCTGCTGCTGCATAAATATCGTGGCGCAGTTCGGCAAGATTTTCAATCGGTTTTTACTACACGGTTTCTTTTATACAATCCTAATAAGAAAATCAAGGGGATTTAGACCCAGAGAATGAGGAGGCCAAGTAATCGAACCACGACGCCCAATCCATCTTTCTGGGTATTCTGTATGCAATCCCGTACAGGACAAGCATAACGATTTTTAACATTTTCAAAAATATGTCTATTACTACTCAACTAAGAGACATAGAATTTTTTTCTTATTTTTACCAGAACAGGTATGGGTTGGCCTCTCACCCGGTGCCCGCTTGACGTTGAGTTTCGGGACATTCTGTATATACAGTGTGTCCCAGGATAGATGTTACAAGAAGTATAATGACCTAAATATACAGGTGTATCTGAATGACTGCAACAAACATCGAGGGGTGATTCTTTAGGGTACTTTGATATATGAACCATGGGCGACTTCGGCTCCCCTAAGGAGCTTCACCCCTCCAAATATGGCGGAAAATTTTAGTTTAATTTTTCTTTCTCAAAAGCCATAAACGCTAGGAAAATGACATTTGGGGAATATGTTTAACTCATAATAGGGCACGTTTTGACCCTATTTGTACTTTCAACCTACCCTTCTAAACTATTAACCACCCCTGAAGACACTAGCTCTTAGTGTCTTCACTCTGATCTAATATAAATTATGGCGGCTTAATCAATATAGGTAGATCTTTCTGAAATTTTGGATAGTGCCATAATTTTTCATTCCAAACAACTTTTCTTAATGAAATTTTACTGTATCATGAACAATAAGCTTACTTTACCTGAACTAAAAATTTTCAAAATATAAAAATATTCTTAAAATCCTCTTCACACCAAGCAGAGCTTAATTCTTCATCTTTAAAAGAAAGTTCAAAAATGTTTAGGTCACTATACCTCCTGTAACATCTCTCCTGGGACACTCTGTATATAAAACTAATTGATGTGTTAATAAATATATTACATTTTTTAGAAAAAATAAGCAATTGTTGAATCGGGCAAGTGATCACGCAGAGAACAAAGAAAAATTTGACACTGTAGATTCAAAAGATCAACTTGGTTCTAGCCTTAGTTTAAATTCAAATGCATCATCTGTTAGCGTTCGATCCCAAGAACGTAATGCTTCTCCAAACGAATCGTTATCCGATGATTTTGAACATTTGTAAGTAAAAGAATTAATTAGTCTTAATTTTTACATATTATGACCATCATTGTACTTATTTGCAACCCAACCCAAAGTTTGAATGAATCACCCAATTGGTATGGTGCACTTTTGTTATCAAAATGTAGAAATGAACATTTTTATACTCCCTCCGTTTTCCCAGTTGATTTTGGTAGTTGTATAAACTCCAATAAACTCAGGAACTTAAGGTTGAATTGATTGATTAAGCTCTTGAGCATGCGGAAGTTGACCCAAACATCAGCAAAGATATTCGTTCTTCCAAAACGAAGCTGACATTGTCATAAAAGTCAATGCCACACTTTACAGAACCTTATTAAGAAAGTAGTACTGAATGATGTAATAGAATAGAGCAAAAAAAATATTGTGTACTTCAAAATCCTGACTCTCAGCTGACCAACAACAAAACCTTGCATATCTAATTGATAGTATCTGCTCTAGAGTAATACTCATAATTAATTTAATAAAATATTTGTTTATAGATCTGTACCAGATGTTTGCAAAGAAGAAAATAGATTTCAAACTCGTGGAACATCACCTGTAAATATGCCCGCTATTAAACGAACTCGTACGGATTCGATGTCATCGACAAATTCAGGAACTTGGGCTATAATATCGGGAACTGGGAGCTTACGTAGTTCAGATTTAAATAGGTAAGAACCAATTAACTTTTTGTAATTATTTTATTGAATTTTTTTAATTTTTAGTGAAAAAAGTTGGTCAACTGAGCATTGTCGAAACGTTGGTGAAGAATTCAAGCTAGAAACGCGCGTTAGAAAGTTGCGGGAGTTAAGAAGACTGATGCAAAACGCGTACGGAAAGACGATCGGTTTAAAGTTCGTCAATTAAAATTAAAAAAATAGGTCGGCCTCCGCTATTTTTCACTGTACTACTAGACTGTTGCGACTACCTGTCATTTGTGTTCATCCCTGCCTTAATCGAAAGGGACCCACGCTATTGAATGTGATTAATAACTGTTAGAATTTGTTACCGCGTTCGTATATAATGGCGTTTATTATTTTGTTTTTATTTTAATAATAAAAATTGACCGCAGTGCTTCCGCGACATGTCTACTAATAATATAAAATTTCGTTGAAATGTTACATTTTCTGCGCATGCAGAACATAATAGCCCTTTAACGCACTTCCATGTTATCAGTTAAAAAAGTATATTAATATATTACGTGTGCGTTACAGGGTTAAATATTTTTTTTGGGAAGTTTTTTTAACTCGTTATCGTTTTTTTTTTTGTTGATACCTCAGTTAGGTGCCTAGATATTGCCTCTCAAATACTGAATTTCATTTGTAATGTTTTCTATACTTGTTCACATCCCTAGGAGCTAATGAACGTAAATATATTTTTTTAAAATTTATTTATTTCTTTTTTTGTCCCTCATCGATGTTAATTATGTCTGTAGAAGGAGTGAATGACCGTTAAAAAATAATTTTGGCTTAGTATGGAGTTTAAAAATAGTTTTAAAATTAAATCGTGACGGAGTATAAGACGTATAGAGAATGTAATAATTTCATTATGGTATGGATGTGATTGCTCGATGAGTAACGTCAGGTGTGTGGTGAATTTTAAACGGTTGGTATTTCCGAACGGAGCTGCAGGAACATCAGCAGGAGTTGAGTTTTACGTTGAATAGTCCGGTAGGTGGCGCCGTGTCGGTTGCCGTAAACGGTTTTTGTCGGTGAAACATCACCGTATTAATAAGAACGTTAGGTTATGTGCGGCGATCTGTGTTGCGGTGGTGAAATCGCGAGAGCAGCCCTTCAAATAAAAATGTCTGATTTTCCATAGTGGAGTACCGTATAGAAAGTAAGGTTATGTCGCTCGATTAAGAAGCGTTAAATGTAGTAGTGCACGTAACAAATAATGGCAAACCATGGGAAATCATTAGGGCAAATCTACATTGGGTGAGTAAAGATAACAAATGACTTAAAAACAAGTGACATAAAAACAAATGAAAACAACGACCCCAGACGCCCCCTTATTCGGTCCGGGATGAAAGCGTTCGAAAGTAAAAATCGACGAGTCGAGCACCTCGACGGCTGGTTTGAGGAAAATTTTTCAAATGCGAATTCCGATCGAAAGTGATACGGTTCTAACCCGTCTACAAGACGCCAGTGCCTTTCGCAATAAAAATTATCGGCTTAGAAATAGAAAATCAAATATCGCTTTTGCACGACCCCGACGAGTGACCTCAGGTCTCTCGTCTTGATCTTTAAAAGTCAAACCCAAAATCCGTGACGTTCGGGACGTTTAGTTTTAATTGGAGACCGAACCAATTAACACTGCTCCCCGGACTTTGTCTTTTGCTCTCCACGCAATATGATACAATACGTAATTTGAGCACTTCAAGGTGCGCGCTGAAATAGAGGCTACTGTGTCGAGCCGCTCGAAAATACAGAACCCTCGAGGTGGATTCGCGACCGTTAACAGCCACACCGTGTGCTAAAATCCTAAATTACCAATTGCCAATAAATATTTTATGTCATTCTATACCCGTAATACTTTAATTAATTAACATAATATATATATATAAACATATGGACGTAAAAGAATAAAAAATATGTTTTTTACGCACGCAAATGCAGGGTAATCTAATTACTCAGGTCCTTAACATTTACCCTAGATATTTAGAGTTCATTTTATAAATAAATTTTTTTTTGTTCTAGGTAACTGTGGGTATCGTCTCGCCTAAAAATTGTCAACATAGTCAACATGCCGGTGGGCACGAGTAAGTGTTCGAGCGTTTTCGCACAACCATAAGGCATTCCTGCGTAGACGTTGCGCAAAGCCGGTCTTGAAACTGTCGACTCGTATGCGACCACTTTTATGCGACTACCAATTCGAGAATTACGTTCGTTGTCAATGCAAATCAAGCAGTCCTTGCTCAGGTGTTACCTAATCGCACTCTCCAAAACAAATTCTAAACTAAAATAACACTTTTACATTATGCTCTTATCAATATTGATTTCTTGTGTAATAAGTACATTATAAAAGGTCATTATGTACATACGTATGTAGCTATATTTGGATGGCATTGATTTTTGAAATTCTTTCTAAAGTTGTAGTAGTTTAAAATAACTTTTCTATTTAAATGCGTTTTCATTGATGTTCTCTAAAGTTTAATGGTCTGTAAAGTTTAGTTTGAGCAGTATTGATATTTAAAATTTCTCTCTAGACCTTAAAATAGACGATCTATTTAAGTGCTGAGAAGCTTATTGAGTATGATACCGGAAGTATTTATAGAAAGATATTATAAGTAGAGGAGTTTGTTAAGTCGTTTCATCGGTGAGTTAAGTTAAGTATCGATTGAGGATTGTGGCGTCCTAAATTGGTTGAAATTAGAACGAAGCGCGCGACAGTGGTAGTTAGGCCGTCGCCGGAAACTCTTTTAGTTTCCAGTCGTTCCAAAAATAACCGACCTATCCCTACAATATCTTCTGGTGCGTGACTCTTAAGAGTCGCAAATAGATTCGCGAAACCGCCAACCGCGCGAACGATTTTGGCCCGGATTTCTGAACGCGCCACTCTTGCAGGCTTTGAGAATTCCGCCATGAAGACGAGCTTCTCGTTGTCGTCTCTCCAGGCGTTCGAAACACCGGAGAAGGCTATCAAGACGCGTCCGTTCAACAGTCTTACAAAACGTAGAAAGGAGAATATCGCCCGTAGGTCCTGGGGCAGTAGCGCCAGCGTCCAAAAGGATGAATTCTGGTCCGCCCTCCAACCCAATTACGATTATATCATGAACAACAATATAATTGATAATTGCCAGGTAAAAAGGGTGCACTTTTCTAATCCAACATGTTTATAACCAACATTTTCTAGGAGGTTAATGGAGAAATGGCTGACGAATCTCAGATGTGGTCTTTTGAAGTCTTCTGCCGTCAATTCTCTGAACTCTATTCTTGGTTGAATAGCGTTCAAGAGGTCATTTACGGCACTGAGGAGAACGTCACCGATAAGGCTCTTAGGGCTGTAAGTGGGATCTTATTTTAAGTGAACTATCTAAACGATTTTCTTTATTTCAGCACTTGATGAGCGCTATGTCGAAAAAGAGCGATATCCATAAGTTGTTTAATGAGAGGGCCACTCAGGTTATTGCAAAAAATCCCGAATATTCCGAAGAAGTCCAATGGAGGCTCACTCGACTTAACGCCAAGTGGGAATCGTTGGAGTCTGTTTTGAAATCTTCAGATTGCGGCTGTCACGAAGAAAACTGCTTAGGTAATAAAATAGGCAACCCAAATAGCACCTTTGCATTATCGGTTGCATAGTTTTTTTATATTACAAAACAAATTTGAATAATTTATTTAAGATTTGGATCATGAGGTAAAGTGTCTTCAGGGTTGGATAAAAAATATCGAAATCATGTTGCAACCCGTTAATTTTAAAACGAAATGGACCAAGCCCGAAATTGAAAAGAAAGCTTTAGAACACAAGGTAAGTTATTTGAATTTTAACGCTTAACACTTCAAAAAAAGTGTCTTAAACAACCCACATTGCAGCTGTTGTTTATATACTCTGCATGAGGGTTAAAAAAGGCGACATCTGTTTCCGTTTCGTTTTTATTTAATTTAATAGGTTTACCACTCGAACAATTTCAAGGCGTAATCGAAAGCTTGCAAGTTTTGAATGAGATTAGAAATTAGATTGGTTTAAAAGATTTTAAAATTTCAATATAAAAGAAGATAATGTTATTGTATCGGAAGTAGAAGAAATGAAAATGTAACTTGGTGAAAGCGCTAATAATTAGATCTCTACCAATCGTTCAATAAACTTTCTATCGTTGGACGCGGCACATCATCATCGGTAAATTGGAACGGTTCAAAATTCGGGCGAATCCCAACAAAAAACATGTCGCCCAACTATTTCCGTCAAGTGGGGCATTCGCGGTCCGTTGTGAAAGATCGAAGTTGAAAATAGTGCGAACCCGCGAATATCATCGCGTCATCGCTTTATCACTCGCTTATATTTAGAGGGAACTAGTTCGGCGCGTCGGGTATCATCGAGTACGTTCGACATCGTTCGACTACCCGAGGCCGCCACTTTTGTTAGGGCCGGATAACAGATGCTGGTGGCGTCAGTTCGGTTGTGGTTCCTATGGTGTTGGTGCCATGGTGCCTATGGTGGTCGTCGTACCATGCGTCGCGCTGTTCTCTACGTTAATCGATCTATGAAAGAACGATCGGCAGTCAAAGTCGCCTGATCGGTGATTCCCACCAGGTTTCTTCATTGAGAGAGGAGGACATTCAAATTGCCAACGGTGAGTTGCTATAAAGTCGCCGAAGAAACGAAAACGTGGTTGGTGTGTGTCTAAAAATACGTTGGTTGCGCGAAAACCAGCAGCGGCAGCGTGCGGGGTACTAATAATTCCACGCTGCCCACTATCTTATCGTAGGGTTTCTTTACTTTCCCCGCGCGCTCGTTGGTGTTGACATTAAGAGTTAGCGTGCGTTGTTGAATAACGCCTCGGCGACTGAGAGAGGAGGTCGTTAAACTCAATTTTTGTCCGGACCCCGTTGTGTATATGTGTGTGTGTATGTAGTGCAGTCGGTCCGAATGTCTTTAAAACCCTCGCAAAGGCAGACGACGGAAGAAGAAGGATGCCCTGCAGAGACGCAGACGCTTCGTCTACCGGTATAAATACGGGGGGCTAATTGATATCTCCTCTATTCTATTTACGGGGAACCTAACGGACATTCGTACCGCTACTTAAAATCGTTTCCAGTCGATGTGCAAAAGTCAAGATTGGTCTCGATTCTTAGGATGAGGATCATTGTAATAACCGTCGAAGATCGACGGACATTACCTTTTATGGCATCTTGCTTGTTCTTTTCAAACTAAACTTTTTCAATACCGCAAAATTAATAAACGGAAACAGTAAACCACATACATAATAAGTTACATTTCCGGAGAACTCGCACGAAAACGCAATGTTTTTCATATTTACAGTGGTCACTGACGCATGTTTCCTGTTGTCATTGATACGATAAAAATGATATAAAAGAACTTATTGTTTAAGTTATTACTATTTTTGGTTATGAGCTCATTGTATGGTTCTCAAAAGTTTATACGTGGAAACGAAAAAACTAATAACGCAACAAATTTTTTTCTATATCTTAGTCCTTGAATGTTTTTAGATTTTGTTATTGTTAGTTATTTTTACGCGTGAGAGCATTTCTTGTGGTAGTTAGAGAATTTGCCGAATAACCTATATTTTTCTGCTCCTATAAATAAGTTTTCTATAAAATCTGGGTCATCGAAAACGTTAAAAATTTTAGATGATACAAACCAAAATATATAATATACACATCCGTTATTAATGTGGCGTAGAAAGCGTAGACCGATTTATAGCTTAAATAAATCAAATGTTTAGATTCGTGGTAATTCCTTTTAATAGATTAATCGATTACGATCACGCAAAGAGAAAAGAAAAATATTAAAAAAATTTTATGTACACATTATTTTATCACTAATTAGTTTTACACAATTTATTTTTTTATAGGACAAATAAGTGTTAATTAATTTCTTCATAGTATGATCTAATTTTGTTCGTAGAAATTATTATCGAAATCAAAAAGCTAATAAGAGAAAATGGTAGATAAGTTTAACAGTAATTAGCACGATGTTGTTGGTTACGTGGTTTGAATTACTAAATTCTCAGCAATATGCAAATTAAATTAGTAAATTAAAGAAGAATCTAATTACATCAAAAAACATTTTTTATTGTTTGAAATTTCTAAGAAAATTTTCATTTGAAATACCTGTACTTGAGAATTTTATTGTGTCAATGAAACTTTCTCTAAAATTTTTTGAGATGTTGTTGAAATGTTATTGAGAGTCGGAATAAAAGAGAAAAAAAGTTGGGTCTTAAACGGGCCTGTTCTGTTGTCCGGGCAGGTTAGCCTGCGTAGGCACGCCTAACCTGGTGTTTCTTTTTCTTCTTCGAAACCTGCAGAAGTCGAACAGTCGCGACAGCCAACCGGACTTTTCTTAGACGACGACCGTCGAACCGTGCAGGGAAAAAATCGGCACGTTTTCTGAGAAAACCGATCCGGAATCCTGACTAGCGTCAGGTCCAGTTCGCAGCAGGAAGGCGTTAACTCAATTTCCTGCCTCTAGGCATTGTTATCTCGAATTAGATCGTCGTCAAACAGTCACTTTTTTTCCAACGTTGTTGTCGAGGCACCACGCGAGGTTTAATAATTAGAGCGCGGCAACGTTATTCCTCCATTAAAATCGAATAAATGGTGGGTTTCTAGCGAAGATCGCGCTCGCGGAATAGACGTGATGTCATTATAGACGGATTGCAAAATGAAAGGCGCTAGAACATATATGTTTTAGATTACAAATTGCTTCAACATTGTGAAACTCTCGCTTGCAGCTTTCTCGACTAATAACTGCATCATATAAAAAAATCGTTTGTTAAAACTATTAATTCTCGTCATGGACGACGTTCCAACGAAATAAAAGAGTAAGATTGAGGTGAAGCATTTTGACCCGACGGCTTTTAACTAAATTAATCAGATTATATTATAAAACTTTTGTCTTGGCCCACTGAAACGTGGTATGTATGGATATGAGATGTGTAAAATAAACAAATAGATGAAAATAGTATCTTGTTTGTTGACGTTTGGAGATTCCGGGGCAGATGGAGTAGGTTTGGAGGGGCATCGACGATTAATATCGCGATCTCTCACCGAAACCTCGATGGAGAAAGTCAGCACGTTGCTCCTAAGCGGCAAAGGTCGCCCAAGAAAACCAAGGAGGATCAACTGTGGAGATCCCCTTTTAGGCATCACCGCGCATTCTCGGTCTCGAATGATTCAATTACTGGAAGAATAGAAACTTTCAATCATACGGCTCGCGCTTTCGAGGCGACCTCTTGCGACGCCTTTACCACCGCTGTAAGCGTGTCTGAGCCTCCACGTCGGCTCCGTGAGTCACGACGACGGTCGGTTGATTTCAAAACGCATCCTCTTTTTCCTTTCCTCGGCCGCAGCGGCCTCGTAACAATTCATTTCTCTTTCATTAATATTTAAGCCGTTCCGTAATGCGTTAAAAGTTAACGGCTATCGAATATCTTATCTCTTTCCTTACTGTCATGTATAAACGTCTAATTGACATTGCGAATGATGAAAAGTATAGCTTTGTTCTCTTGTGAAAGGTCGCCTGAGCGCATGTCTATCAGTCTACTTCCGCATGCGCTTAAAACTTAGCTAGCGGCGTTTTCGATTGTCAAGATATAAATCTTGTAATCGCGACTATTTTATCTTTTCGATGGGCCATCTTTTAGTTTCCAACCATTTTCCGGGGTTTCTCTTACGATGTCGTAAGTGTACGCTTTTGTGGTTTTGTTTTACTGATTAAATAGTACATTAATTAATTTTTAACCAAAGCTTAGTTTCGGAGAATCGATAATTTAGAGAATGTTGTCATTATTTATGTGGTTTCAAGGTGGAAACATTAGAATGTATCATAATTACAATTTAATTGTCCTTTTTCATAAATTTTTATTACTTTTATATTATAACAAAAGATTACGGGTTTTGTTTCGCCATCTTTATTTTAAAATTATTATTGTGTTACATTAAATTTTACAATTTAATTCGTGTAATTATCTACAAGTATTAATCAAATTTCTCCATTACTTTCATACAAGTCATATTTTATGTGTTTAATTCGAATAGAATAAGAGTTAATAAGAGCTGGTTGTGAAGAGAAATGTTTTGAAAATATGTAGTTTTTGTGCTTGCGGCGAATATCATCGCTATTCAAATTTGGCCGATATTTCAACCTCGACTCGGCTGGGTAATTATGTGTTAGAACTTAACTATCCACTTTGCCGACTCGGCGTGAGAGGGATTGGCAGCGGGCATAATTACTATTTAATTCCACCATAATTGCTCTCCGGGCGCAGAGCGTGATTTTTATCGGTCATTCTTTGTGTCGACGGAAAGTATACAGTATTATATTCGTAGATACGTTTCGATCGGTTTATCTAATCAAAAACCCAGCTAAAAAAACACTTTATCTAATCAGGCTGTGGGTGCGAACGTGAATTTTCAAGCGTCTAAATATCGATCAGCATTAATAATAAACGATTTTTTCTACAGGTTGTACACTGCGACATTGAAAACCATGGGAAGATTGTAACTTCCTTGATTAAAGTGTGCCAGCGTACCGACGCCAGTTGTAACAACGCCAGCGCTAAGCGCGTCGCTGAGAATTTAGAGAAGAGATGGCATCTGGTCTTTCTTAAGTCTTTGGAGTGGCAGTGTCATATTGAAAACTTACTTAAAAGCGAGTACAACTTATCTGATACAGAACTCGAAGACGAGCCAGCGGTTAAACATCCCAGACTCACAGTGCCAACGCCTTCAGCTGACGAACTTGATGGTTTGCTCGTCAAAGGAGTCGATAAACATGATTTAATCTTCACCGAAGATCAAAGCCATTATACGAGGTAAATTATTTAATTTCTACCAAATTGTTTGTGTTTTTATTATTTTATTTCCAGATCGAATCGACAAGGTACAAACCAAGCTACTTACTACTTCAAGCACATCGACACAGACTCCGAAATGGATAAACACGACTTAAAATTGGAAAAACCCGAAGAAACCCATAACCAATGCGAAGAAACCACCGACGACGAAGAAGAATGGACTTTTTCCGTACTTGATCTAAAGGATAGAAACGGAACCGAAGAAAACGGTGATGTCACAAAACCAATAACGGAAAACATACACTATTTAGTTCAAAAAGCCGAAGAATTAGTTAGAGAATCCCCCGCGCAAAGAGCGCGTGGTAACTCAATTGAAGTCCCTGTAAATAAACTCAACAGAGTCAAACAATGGCTTAACATTCAACCAAAAGACCCTGATAGTAGTTGCGATGCAAGCGGAGAAGACGACGAACGTGATTCCCAAACTTCGGAAGAAAACGATGAAAGCGTCATCACATACAGGGCATTGGGTTGTAATTCCCAAAACACCTCCTTTGTAGACTTGGAAGCTACACCAAAAGTAGTTAAACGCGGCAAATTAAGCACCGATATTCGACCGTGGAGCGTTTCATGCATATCACAATTAACTGGTAGAATGAATGACGAACCAAAAAATTTTTCCACATCAGAATCCGCTTTATATAGTTTATCAAAAAATTATCAAGATACCAATGGATGTAACGGACAAGGAAATAATTCCACCTCATCTACAGTTGAGGAAAGCTCCGCTTTGGTATTTGAAGATAAATGTTCGTCAAGTCGACGTAAACGATTTAAAATAAGGAAGCGATATGATGTAAGTATAAATATATAATCTACAAATACGTATTATTTATATTAACTTTTATAGCGGAAAAATAATGGATCCCCTTATCATTCAATGACGCTCATTAAATCGGGATCATTTTCGGGACATAGTCACATTAGATCGAAAGCTGATCGTCATAGTGTTAGCGATCCTTCCGCGATATCAATTTGTCATTTTATGTGTGATTCAACAAGTGGTGGAGAAAGCGAAGACAATCGTAAATTAAAAAGGTTAGACTTCTATTTATATATTATTTTCCCTTAATATTTAATATTTAACATAGACTATCAAGTTTAAAAACGCCTAAACGTCAAAAATCGGTTGCCCAAGTCGATATAGTAAGAGATGGAAGCCCAGGAAAAAATAGTTTGATTGCAGCAGAAGAACAATCGAGTTCAATGTCTGAGCAAGCTTGGGATGGTTTTCAAGAAGTAATTATTTCGTACTTTTAATATAAATTTATTAATTATTTTTTATTTTAAGGAAGCATATTTGTCTGAACAATACAGTGAAACGCATGATTCAGACGCAGCAAGAAAATTGTTGGAATTTGGAGAGGATTATGGAAATTTCCTGGGAAGCCAATCGGATTGGTCCGCGTCGACAAATCCGGGATTCTCGCCGCCTTTCCCCCGCAAAATGATGCTTCCCGCCACCATTAAAGAAATATCGTTACATTCCGATTCGGATTGCGATTCCGATATTAGAAGTTTACTTCGCGCAAATCGTCAAGAATTTAATTCAATGGATAAAATTTACAAGCGCCAACTCGAAATTGGATTAACAGACTACTTAGTAAACAACGACGTGGTAAATATAACGATTAATAAGAAAATACTAGAGTAAACTTTACGTAAGTAAAGTGGTCCTCTAGATTCTTTTTATTATTGAACGTGGTGGTAGAAATTGATAATTTTTTTTGTAGACGGATGTATTGGATAATTGCAACTGTTTTATAGAAGTGTTGACGGATGTATTGAATAGAGATAATAGCCCTGGTGTTAAGGGTGAAGTCCAAGGTAGGGATAAGTTTCCTATTTCTTTGTTTGAAGCTTGGAGCGTGTTTACTAATTACTTCCTCGATACATTTCTGGAGATAGTTAGGCACTTTTTGTGCAGAATCGGCCTTGCCGCTAGTCTGCGGATTATAAAAGACTCCAAAAAGAAAAGGAAATGATACACAAATACAGTGACATTTTTTTTTATTGATATATATAAACATAACCCAGTCTATTTCTTTTTACTTCTAGTTTATAATATGGTTGTATATTTTTGTTTTTTTTTCTTTATGCATTATACACTAATAACACGCAATGGTAACTATTTTTTTTCTTTTTTATTTTTGAGAAATATATGCTTTTATTTTCTGAGTAACCAATTATTTTATTTTTGCGTATGTGTGTAGTTCAACTTTTGTAGAGACGTTGTTTACCTTATTCTTGAATACTCAGTGCAATATTTCTAGAGACTTGTTGAAGACGCGTAACTAGGAAACATATCGTCTAAACGGTAAGGATTTTTGCCTGTCGGTAGAGCATCTCAAATGTACATAAAAACAAAACTAAACTAACTGAGTAGAATCATCGTTTTTTTTTTTAGTTATTTTTTATTAACGTCTCATATGTTAATAAACCAAACAAAAAGCCCAAACAAAATAACTTCCGTTTGATCACGGAAACGGTTCATCCTAATCCCATCGTTATCACATCGTTTTAAAACAAATGACAAGTTATTTATGCAGGCTTTTTACTAAATCCTCGTATTTCATTGTTTTTCTATAGATTTGTTATCGAGCTGGCGCAGCTTAAAGGATCGTGCACTCACTATGAAACAGTACAGGGAATTACAGCGACAAATCTTATTTGTTAAGGACGCACTACATCTTGTTAAAGCTAAAATTTCTGAGGAAGTTACAGCTGTCGATTGTATTGATGACATTGCTAGGGACATCGATTTTTATACGGTGAGTTAATACTTAAATTTTCTTCTTATATAATTATAAATAATAAATCTCAAATAATGATATTAACACATCTTGCGCGGACTCTTTGCCGCCAAAGTCTTACCGCATTAATACCATGCAAAACGAGTTTAGTCGCTTCCCGCTAAAGTAATCAAAAAATTAATAATGACGTGAATAATAAACAAAATCAATGTTTTCATTTAAAAAATTATGAAACTATATTTTTTGTGACTTTGTGGTTAAGATTTAAGGTCACAGTGTAGAGGACGAATGAGTAAAGGGTCTTTACTTTTAAATAACCCGGGTCGTTTCGGGGGTAGGGTAATAAAGGTGCATAATATATGGGACCGCAATCGTCAATGTCAGGCTGTGGAATTTATAGGTCTCTTGGGGTAGTGGTAGAGCTAAAAGATCCGGAAACGGAAAAAAAAAAAAATAAAATAAAAACTACCGACATTTTCGTTTTGGGTTGGTTTCAGGTGGAACTAGACACTTTGTTGGATCACAAATCGAAGCTTTTTACGCTCATAGGATCCGTCCATAAATTCATCCTCTCCGATAAAGAGTACAGTTCATCGTTTTTGAAACGGGACATATCTGAGTTGCATCGTACTTGGTACGAAGTTCATAGTGGGGTTTTGGGTCGTCTCGCTTTGCTTAAAGATTTGAAACAATCGTGGCAAACTTTGGAGAAACGTTTAGATAAGTTAAGAATAGATTTGAAGGAAGATGAGCAAACGTTAGACCAAATATTAGATGCTGCCGTGAAAGGTGATGTTTTATCCAATCAGACTTTATCATCGTTACGCGATGTTGATAAATTACTTTCGGAAGCATCACCCGATAATTCCGTTGAGGGTTATCCGAAAATCTCCGAATTTCTATTCGAAGGATCCTGTTCGGACAGCGGAATGTCGGATGAAGGGTCAGAACACGAGCCGGGAGAAAGAGAGCACCGACTGTGGTCGATCAGAAAGTCTGTAAAACAACTAGAAGCCGTCATGTCGCCGAACTGCGTGATCAGAGTATTGATGGGGGAACGATTGGCTGCCGCCGAAGAGGAGTTGAAGAGTGTTAGGAAAAAATGCCAGTCGCTAGTCGTGCGGACCTGCCCCTCGATGCAAGGTTCATCAAGGTATGGGTATTATTTCGACCCCTAATAGGGAACGATAAAGGGCATTCTTCCGCTTCTAACCCTTGTCCACCCTATCCTGCCGTTCAAAATGAACTTATTCATATGATAATTAGGTTCCGGACAAGCTTACCCCCGACATCTGCCGATATTTTCTCCACCCTTCAATCATTCGAATTCCACGATTTTCGCAATCAACAATAATCTATTTCATCAAATTACATACGCGTAATTTGATGAAATAGATTTGAGAATTACAAGTCATTATAAAAATTCCTTTTTATTTTAGCGTGGAATCGACTTCTACAGCTCCAGATGGTGGGGATCCATCATATCCACAAGGATCAACAAAAACGTCATGGTTAAGAAGGGTAACCCGAGTTTCGATACCTTTCCAATTAGCGTTAATGGCAATATTGTGTGTGGCGTGTCTTTTGGAGCCTCATTGTTGCGATAATATGAATACATTCTCGTTGTCATTGACGCCCCATTTGCACTACGTGCGCGGACCGCCACCGGCGTGATTGGCGCTGCAGTCAACTTTAACACAATTTATATCGTATAGCATGTTGTTATGCCTGTAAATACATAACGTTTACATTTTGTGAAACGCGAGAGAAAGAGGTATAATCTTAAATTAAGAAACAGAGAGCAGAGATCGGAGACGATATATTTTTTCTATGCATTTTCCGATTTTTTACAAGAGTAATACTACATTTAGTATAGCGTTTTTTTATATTTATATTTTATATATAACGTTTACAAGTCTGTTTTTCTTCCCCCTTTTTATCCTTGATTTTTTAATATGTATTTCACTTAAATGTATTACTTAATGTGTTCTTTTTTATAAATGGCCGCCCTGTATTATTTTGAAAGTTGACCTATCTGCTGCAAGGTGGCGCTAGGAGCCGCCTTTCAGCATCGATTTTTATCCTCCAAGTACGTTATTATTTAACGCGTTGTTTGTTTTATATATTTAAGAAACCTAAATTAACGAGGACTTATTTAGTATCATAATTTAGATTTTTTGTAATGTTTTATATTACGTTGGAAGAGTAATAAATTTTATCGAAGTAATTTAGATTTACTATTTTTTATTTATTCCTTTTTCCCACAATCCACCGCAACAATACCGAAATTTAATTTGACGCTTGGCCGAGTCAGAGCCGATGTTTTACAGGAATTCGCCTCCGCGAAGTTGCAAGGAAAAAGTGTAAACTTGCGTTCGCCGACGAAATACGGAATGGCCCGTTCGGGGAAATCGATAGAATCGATACGCTACGGGAAAGGAATTACAAGCCCACACGGTTTTCGAATATAAATAGGCAATTAACGGTATGCTCACTTCCCACCTTCATTTTTCCAGGTAACTTCCATCGAATTTTGCTAGATGGAACCACTGTAGATTTTGGCCGCTATGAATTTGTTAATCTTATATACTTGTAAACATCTAAATTTTTGTTAATGATATTTATCTCTACAAATTAATTAATTAATAATAAATATGGATTTGTGATTTTTTTGCGTATAAGTATCATATATCATATTAAATCTGACTTCGATTCACATCGGATTTAAATCATATTTGATTGATTTTAATTCAATTATGATCGCTCGTTTAGCAGATCTTTTCGCTGAAAAAATCTTTGTTAACATCATGAAATGAATATGATGCAATTTTAATAATAAGTGTAGAAGAAATGTTTAATTGGATGTTGTGTGTTTAGATTAAAATGAAGAGAAATGTGTGAAATGTATGAATATTGATATTTCTTGTTGTTAATGGTAGTAAAGTTAGGCGGAATGATGAGTTGTTGTGCATGGTGGTTGGAGATGTTGAATGGAGGTGGTGGTGGCGGTGGCGACGGCGCGAGAAGGAGTTTGGGGCCACGTCGAGTGGGAGTGTATCGGGAAGCGGAGGAAGGGCCGAAGTGCCGCCCGCCGGATCACATGACCGCAGGCTACGCACGCGGCTCGGGATCCGCCTTCGGTAACTCTTTCGGTCATTCAGCATCGGCGCAATCAATGGCCGAGAGTCCTCTCTGACGAGTCACGGGTCCGGCGCGTCCGCGACGCTCCCGCGCGTTACGCTCTGGTGATCCCCCGGGTGGTTTTAGTGCCTGTCCAACCTGGAGCATACGGGCGGGTTCGCGTCGTCGCCGTGGGCGGCGGTGCTCAGCCACCACCACACGGCGGCGGCCGTCGCGGCTGCTGCCGCCGCGTCCGCCTCCGGGACCGTTCTCCAAACCAGCGACCACCACGGATACCCCTCCGGGCACCATCCTCCTTCCCCAATGGATCTCCACGTGCCGCAGGCCTTCTCCTACTATCGGTGAGTACCGGCAACTTGTTGCTTATTTGCATGGGGCGTCCCCGCGCCACGTGAAACCACCCTTGGACACGTGCCCCGCGACCTGCGCTTGGGGACCACTTCTTCCCTTATACCGAAACACCTTTTTCCTTTTTTCACTTCGCCATTTCACTTGGGTCTTTTCAACACCCTCTTCATATCTTTTACCAAAACAACCTAAATCATTTCATTTTACCCACTTCACCAATTCCATATCAACTAAATTAGAAGTCATAACATATCATATCTCCTCCCTATCTATCCATTATGTGTTGTTAATAATCGTTATCAACAATGTTTCAATACAATACTTGGTATCACATTTCGTTCAAAGATTATTTAATCAATTGTATAGCCATGTAGATTTTCTTTCATAACATGTGTTTCAATTAACAACTTAGTATTAATGCGATGTAGTTACAACCTTATCTATTGTATACGTCATATTCTATAATTCATTAAATTCATCCATTAAAACTCATTGTGATTAAAAAATGGATAATATATATAAAAAAGTTGTGTTAAAAGAATGGAATTTGTTTGTGTAGTTGTACTTTAACGTTTCTACGTAGCTATTGATCAACGAAGCGGGTTCCATCGTTCACAAACGCGGGCCGGCAAATTTCATTCTCGCAGCGAAATATTTTGAGTTTCGTAATGCGCCGTTTTGGCTCCCGGTCACGTACGGCCGGGAGCAGAACGCGTCCCGACAATTTTAACGCGACCATTTTTGCGGACGGTCTGCCGCGGAAACGCGCTAAAACGCGCAGACCGCGCGACGTAGCGATATCCCGGTGCTCGATGTACACCGGCCGCGACCATTTCTATTTCTATTTTTGCTTTTTGCCGAGTTCGCACTTGTTCTTTAGTTCCGCTATCGATTTTGCGAGCGTACGAGGGCGGAATATCAAACCGCGAGTGGGCCGCATTTCTAAGGAGCCTCACCGCCCGTGGGGTAAACTTGTCAATATTCGGGGCCCTTCTAAATTGGACCACCGCGAACGCCGAATTTATAAGAGCCCAGTTTTTTTTTCTTCGAAGGCTTTTCTGAACACGCGCGGCACACTTTAAACACTAGATTTAAACGTAACTACCCTAACAGTCAAAAAGCTCTAGCTTATGTTTCTAAGGCTTTGTAAAAGTCGGATAAAAAAGTGGTGTTCAACAGGGGAAAGAAGGGGGTGTCAGAAAATGCATCTAGGAGTGGCAATTACGAGGTTGTCGTTCTGAACGAATTGCCCCCACCCCCCGTAAGCGGTCCTCGCCGCGACGTTTCGATGTCTGGGGGGACCGGGCCGAACTATTTTAAAGAATAATCGACCGGAGGGGCCCGGAAAAAAATCAGACTTGCAAATTCTTTTTGCCACCCGGCCCTTGGCAGCCCGTAAAAACATTAACTCCGGCTTCTTAGCGTTGGCGCCCCCTATCGGAATGAGTCGCTCTAAATAATTCCGAGAGGGAAATATTTGAGAAACACCCGGGCAGGAGCCACGACGATTTGCATACTTCTGGAAGCGGCCGCTAATTAAACTACGCGCGCCAAGAAGCGCTCCGCCCCCCTCTTGAGACGACCAAGAGATCAAACGCGGCCATCCGCAGGCGGGAAGGTCAAACGCTCATCGGCCAGGTGCTACTTTTCCAGCTAATATTTGATCATGGCAAACAAAGATCTTGTCGTATCTATCTCAACTCAAATGAACCGAAGAACATAAGAAATATATATATGTATATAAGACTAATCCACATATTTCTGACACTTAATTAAATATTTCTATGGTGAGAGGGGTATTTCTAATAAATTTGTTATGGCTTTTGACATTATATATATAAAACCAAATAAATGTAGTATTGTTTTAAAGTGTGGTTATAACATGTGTTGAAGAGTAAGTGAGAGGAAAAAAGAAGGTGGGTTGTCTGAGAGTTGAACGTGGATGCGACGCGGTACAGATATTAAACTAATTTAGAGCAATTATACTAAAGGGGAATTACTCAGTGCGACCGTCAATAGAGTTTAGTCGACCGCGCGATCTTAAGCCGGACACTGCGCGTCGCGGTTATGGTGACGTGAAGTGGTGAGTTTAGGAAGAAAGGTGAACGAATGAAAGGGAAGAGGTTAGTCAAAAGTGGCTTACATTGGACCCTCGAAGGGGAAGAAAAATAAATCGAGCGAGGTCGTCATCTTCTAATCTAATACGGTCGGGATTAAGTGCTCCGGAGTTTTCGGGAAATTGCTTCTTAGGTCCTACAAGTTCGCGCCATTTATTAGGGAAGCGGTATCCAAGGTTTATTTTAATTTCCCGGTCTCGTTCAGGATCGGCCTCTATGCATTTTGATTAGGAGCCTTCCCCCGCATCATATTCCTATTACCTATTATATTTTTCATCGGCGGGGACGCAAAATCAAAGCTCCTTGTACCGGATCAATTTTAACTCATGAATACGTTAGCTTTTTTCTCCCCCTTCGTCTTTATCCCATTAATAAACATTACCTCCGTGTGATCTGTCTTACATCTTTACCAACCTCAGAACCCTCAGCATCTTAAATAATGTTATTTGCAAAATCTCGACTTCATCATTTTTTAAAATTACATAGACGTAAAAAAAATGTATTTATGAAATTGTTTTATTTGAAATCTGTTCGATCGAAAGGGTTAACGTTCGTGTGGTGGGCGGCGGAGGGAAGGGCCATGTAACGGGCATAAACCGACCCGAACTGTAACATGTGGTTGGAAGTAGTGCTCTCCGTAAAGTTGCCGGCGGGCATATGGTGGTAACGGCTCTTGCACGAGTCGCATCGTCAATGAGGATCGGTCCCGGCGTCGAATGGCATTCAAAAGCGCGTCAAAGCCCCTACAAACTTAATACGACGCGTCGTCCTCGATCAATGGCCAAAGCTATATTAAGTCCATTACAAATTGTTTTACGACATAATGATCTGATAGAAAAAGAAAATATTCCAGTTTCAAGTATTTAATAATTCATCCCTAATACATTTTCAATTTCAATTCAAGTGCAACGAATCAAGTTTTTTTTTTTAATGAATTTTTGCTCATTTTTGTTTTCTAAACAACTAAACCGATTGGAAGCAGATTTACGAGTCGGGTCTTGGTTTACTAAAAGGTAGCAAGCGATAGTGAGAAAGTATGTGAGTACAAGACACGCGAACAGATAGGGCCCTAATGGCAAGAAACAAGAAGTGAACTCGTAGGGTGAAAATTCGTGAAATTTATTCGCACTTTGTTACCGCTCCCTAAAAAACACAATTCCTTCCTAATAAAGGGGCTACTTTACATGCTCGTTCAAAACGTCTGTCGCCCGTGAAAATAAAAAGGAGGCCGCCCCCCGCCGATGTTAAAAGGCTCCTCGCGCCCGCCCGCCCGTTTCGATCATTTACTTTCGCGTTATAATTTCGCCAGGGAACATATTTCGCAGCTTAATATTTCTTTTGCCAAGCTGCGAAGGGGAAGTCCCTTATCGCGGACGTAAATGCCCCGCCGTGAATCGAGGTTTCGATTCGCCTTTGTAGTGATCCAAGCCGATTCCGGCATGGACCGTTCGAAAAACCTGTCACACAACCTCTATTATTGAAATGGTTTCACATCGATATCGATAAGTTAGGCTTGTATTCAACAACAAGAAAAAATGTTTTAATTAAATAAATCTTTGATATGATGTTACGTATCATTTTAATAAATAAAATTAGGTTTAGCGAGGGTGACGTGACGAATAGTGCT